CGATGGTTACTGCGTCACCCATACGCAGCTCGCTCAAGTACTTTGTTGAGCCATCTGCCATAAGAATGTAAGCATGAACTGCGCCGGCATTCACGCGGAATGGTCTCGAGGGAACGAAATCAGACTGCAGCGTCTCTCCATGGACTAGGGCTAGACTTGAGGAGGAAGACCCGACCAACATGCCCTCACCAACGTCTAAGAGGCAAGTGAGGTCAACGCAAACTCTTTGGCCAACACCTCCGTCACCGAGGCGGAGGACTTCTAAGTCTTGGAGTTCGAAGCTGCTGCGCTCCACAGGTGCTTCCTCTGGCACCACCTCACCACGCTGAGACTTAGCTATCAGTGCTGTCTCGACGACCTCAGGTGGCACAAGCAAGGCGTCTGCGCCGACTTGCAGTGCAAATGCTGCTCCAACGACCTGCTCGGCACTGCGAAGTCGTGCTGCAACTCGTGTAGGCCCGCCACTGCATGCGGCCACGATGTTTTCTACAGGAATCATCGTCCACTCACCAAACTCGAGCAGAATCCACTCAACGCAGCCGGCCAAGGATCGCGCCTTCGACTGGCCCTCTGCCGTGGACACGTCCACGGCACACCCAACGACGCGTCCAGCAAGCCTTAGCGTCCCATCCTCGCCAATTTCAAGGTCCTCTCCCAGGACATGGTCAACCCCGTCTTGCTTCTTGCCACTCTCCACCCACACTTGCATTGCAGATTGGGGCAACGAAAATCCCCGCAGCAAACGAAACGGTCGCTCCCACGAGAGGACCGCCAAGCCAAGTGCCAAGAGATGGGAAAGGCCCTGGTTTGTGCAAGCCTTGCTTCGCCTGCCCACCATGCTTCGAGCCTAGATGCTGCACAGCGACTGGTGCCATGACATGCTTTCGCCGCCACTTTGTGGCTCTTCTGCTGAAAGGCCGGATGATGCAGCCTCGGCAGCAGAAGCCATCGAGGCCTTCACCTGCAGCTGGAAGGCTCGAAGCTTCACGGCCATTCGCAACAAACACTAGCCATGAAAAGCATACCCTTGCAAGTTGGTGGTTTAAGTCGAAGTTGATGAGCCAGCTGAGAGCACCACAGATCTGGGCGTTGGCGTGGGAGGCGTGGGCACCACAGACAACTCCGGCCTGCTATACGCATATACACGTAAAGGGGTTCTTGGGAGATACAGCGACATGGGGCATGGGTTTAAGTAATAGAGGGCTTGTATTTATTGTGATGGGAGAATGGCACATGCCATGGCCTGTTGTGGCCATCGAGCTTCCGAGCACCCGGCAATACTTGCATTGCCGCTGGCAGCGGCAGGGAGCTCGATCGGTAGAATGCTAACCTGATCAAGGAAGTGCACCGTCTCATGTCCGATTGCCACGGTGGTTCTTCAAGAAAATCTTCTTGCAAACAGCTGGCTGTCCCTAGTTGCTTCCGCAAGGTCAGCATCGGCAGCAGCGATCGACAAGATGCGAAGGCAAGCAAAGTCCCAAAGAACTGACGGAACTGGACCATGCCGGTGCCTTTGGGACCCTAAACGTCGAACCCGAACATGACATCTTCCCTGAGGCAAGAACTTAAATTGGGTGATAATTTACAATCTTGTCTGTCAGCCACTACTCTGGAACAGATGAAACTGTGCCGAAATCGAAGAATCGAGGACATCACGTCCTTCGTGCTCCGGCATTCGAGGGGCGCAGCACCGGCGGCGGCTTATCGTGGGGCGCCTTCCGGGACAAAGCGCTGAGGAGGTGCCCACTTGGACTTCCACAGAAGTGGCTTAGAGGAATACACAGACTCATAGAATACAAGCATACATTTCATAGGGTGGAGGCACAGCCTTACAAGTAGGGCCAGATCGTGGGAGGTGAGTTTGGGCTTCGGCTTCGGGCGCCAGGTTCCGGAGTCAGGATCAACATACTACACGGACCTTATAACACATAAAATAGGGTTTCGGGGGGTATACTATACTACAATTCTAATAAGGACCCCCCCCGAAAAAAAAATCCTATGCTAACTATTCAGGCCCCTACATTGGGGTTTGGGAGGTCTGGAGATCGGCATGACAGTCTTCACCCTAAACCCTAAACCCCAAACCCCTAAACCTAAACCCCTAATCGTCATGGAGTCGCACTCGAAGCAACAAGCTCCTTCGACTGTGAGCTACGAGAAGGCTATAGTCATGGATTTGGGGCACAGAGGCAGCTTGCCAAAGCCGGCGCTCACCTCGGGTGGGACTTCTCCTTGCCACGAGAAGCTTGCATCGAAGAGCTCAACGACCTCAAGTTTCACGAAGTTGACGAAGTTTGAGGGTTTAAGGCTCGGGGTTTGGAGTGGCCTGAGCAGGAGCGCACTTGTGGTGTGGTGTGTAAACGCACAGCCCAACAAGGCATCTCGATTTACCTTCTAGGTAGGTACAATCCTGAGCTGCAGCAGTTGCTGAATTCTACATCAAAAATCATCAGCACGGATTGGGCCTAGAGTAGCACTGCCGGGTTCATGAGGCTGAGCAGACGCGGGAACTCCGGGAAAATGTTCACACCATGATCAGTGCCCAACCCCCTCCGCCCAAAATAGTTTGAACCAGCATTCGCTTCCCAAGCTCTCACGATCCTCATGCCTGCTGGTACAGTCATCTGCCGAGACAAGCTGCAGGAGCCTGCTGCATCATGTCGTCTTCACCTCTGCAAGGATTCTGCAATCCGGTTGGGTCGGGATCTACCCAAGAGGACTCATAAGGCCATAAGGGCGCAGATGCCAATTGCATGTTGTGCAGGTGTCGGTGGGCATGTCTTTGTTGCTGGGTGGCGTTGGTCGTGTTTGGGCAACTATATCTTGTCAGCGGTACCGTAAGCGGTTCCAGAGGGCCCGAGGCCAACATCCAGGATCCCGGCTGTCGCCACTTCTTTCGGATTCGCCGTCGTTGGAGCGGGCTTGGGCAGAAGAGTAGTCTCCTCTGCTGGACAAGACCGGGGCGGAATCGGATGGCCAGACAGGCCAGCTTCCAAAGCTTGGACCGCAACCATTCTCAACCCGGTACAGTCTCATCTGTGCATCTGAGGACTTTAGGAGGGACCCCTAATAGGGACCCCTAATCCCATTACCTTAAATAACCATTGTATAGTCCTTATATACCCCTTATATAGCCAGGTAGTCCACATATTAATTCCAATCACCTCCAAGGGTCCCTATTAAGGGTCCCTCCTAAAGCCCTTAGACAGTCTCATCTGTGCAGCAAGAGGAGACGGACCGTTGCTAACGCCAACGGTCCTTCGGATGGACTTCGCGTCAGCGCGCTGCTCGAATGCTTCCTCGCCATGATGCATATACATATATATATATAGAGAGAGAGAGAGACAGAGACAGAGAGAGAGAGAGAGAACGGTAACTTCCTAATGCAATGTCCCGAGTCTGTGGTTCTTCCCCCGGAGGAACTTGGAGGGACTCGAGGCCTCAGGAACCTCAACTCGACATCGCCTTCCCCCGGTGCAGTTTCAAGCCGAGTGCAAAGCCGAGTTCCGTCCTTGGCCTGGCTTTGGGCCGCCTGGATTCAGTTGGCCTCAGGGAGGCAATGAAATTTAGAATCTGTTTCTTGGGCTCGTTTTGAATTTCACCCGGGCACGAAACGAAGCTAACGTACCCAACATCCGAAAACGAATCAGCAGCCGGGTCCCTTTTTGGGGGGCCGGCAGATGAAGCGATTGCATGGGCCGTGCCAATGCTGGTGAGAGACGTGGCATGGGCCTTCGCTTTTTTCGCCCGAGGAGGGTCTTGAAACTTGCTCGCAGGCCTTCGTCTCACGAGAATAGGGTTTCGCGTTTAGGGTGGCATAATCATACTGTTCGCAAGCCGGCTAACTTCGCAAGCGCTGGACTTGTGGAACACGTTCCCTATAAACCCTGCAAGCTCCCACCCGCAGGCTGCTTGCCTCGAAGGCCTGCGCTCTTCGCTGGCCTTGGGCGTGGGCATCGTGACGCTGCGTCTTGCAGCCTTGGTGCCCAGGGAAGATGTGAGTTTCCGAAAATTAGGGGTACCTTATTTGGGGGTCCTTATAATAAGGATCCGACTATTTAGGGTACTATATTAGGGTCCCCTATTTTCGGAAACCCCCAGATGCATAGCCAGAGTAAGAGGATGACAAGAAGAACAAGATCTAAATAAGAAGCAAAGGCGGAAGAGGCACCGCTGTACTAGCAGTGTCTGCAGTCGTCCTCGGCCGTTGCCCCAAGACGACGACGGCTGCTGTGGCTATTGCTACCGCTACAGCTACTCACGCTGACGCTGCCTACTACTACTACTACTCCTCCTGCTGCTGCTGTTGCTGCTGTTGCTGCTGTGGCTGCTATGACGACGAAGATAGGATCGGCGGGCCACAACGACTGCCATGCCCATTGCTCTTGCACAAAACCGAAGAGAACTCGAGCTGAAGAAGCTCATGCGTGGCCCTATCTCCTCAACATATATCGTGCTAGTTTGTCTCATTTACAAGCCCAGTGCCCTCGACCATGCTCAGTCCTGTGCCGGTTGCGCACTGCTTTGGTGCGCCGGGGATGAAGGCCTCAATTGTAGTTACATTGTGAAGAAGGTACTTCGTGGAGCGCTTGACAGGCTAAGCTGTCAAAACCCTTGATAGTATCCCAAGCCCTAAACCACCAAACCCTGAACCCCAAAAACCTGATACAATGCAACCATCATGTTACAACCCTTAATAGTACGGCACCCTGATACATAGAGGACCCCAAACGGGACCCTAAATTAGAGAACCACCCACATGAGAACCCTCCTTCTGGAACCCTGAACCGTTGACTTGCCCGGCTAGGATCCGTTCTCCGCAAGACAGGACAAAAAAAAACCCTAAACCGATTTCTTCCGGTGGCTTGGTGTCAGTTCCGACCAATTCGGATCTATGCACTGGGGCTCAGGGTTGAGGCTTTTTGGTGTCAGTTCCGACAAAAAAAGCCCCCGGTGCTCAGAACACAATGCTCTCAGGAGCTTCATTGGGCCGCGGAAGTTCACAGGATGTCTGCAATCTGCTGTAGCCCTAGATTGACGGCGAGCTCCTTATCGAAGGGCTCTGCCTGCACTCCTGCCTTCAGCAAGGCCTCGACCAGCTGCAGCTGGCCGTGAAGCACAGCAAAGGTCAGCTCCTCCCCCTTCCGGTCCTGCTCCTCCTTGGCCTCCGGTAGGGGGAGACTCTCTCTGCAAACTTCGAACCTAAGACTAGTTCATGGTTGGGGTAGTATTAAAAATTTAAATTTATATTCCTTATTGGGTTTAAGTACCCTTAAAAATGTAAAATGCTACCCAACTATGAGAAAGAAGACGAGACAAGCTTATTGACAAAGGGTCCCTTCAAGGTGGCCTTGACCAGCTTCTCCACGCGCTCTGCCAAGGCCGTGTCGAGGTTGCAAGCGCCCGAGCAGTCGATGCACTGCCACCGGAGCCGCGACCTCATCGCGAAGGCTTCTGGGCTCCAGTTCGTCATGGACTTGGCCCAATAGGGCAGGCGGGCGAGGAGCCGCTTCTGCAGCGCTGAGCTCGTTTTGTCGCATGTGCCCATGAGGTCCACAACCAGCACTTTCGGAGACCAGAACCCGAGGCCCCAGGCTGCGAGCCCCACAGTTGGGATTTCATGGGTGGACAGCACTGACTGCGACAAGCTATGCTCACCCGTGATCTGCTTGTTGACGAGTGCGATGACGGTTCCCTGTGCCCTTTCGCGCATTCCGAGCACGAAGCTCATGCTTGCGATGGACCACATGTTTCCTGCAAGCGCACTGGTCTGCATGTCCTCGTAGCAGGCGTCGAGGTTCTCGCTCGCCTCAATAGCTTGACCCAAGAAGCTGTCCGGGTGCACCGTCGCGTGCTCTATGGCCTTAGCAAAGTTGGAAAGCGTCGCCTGGTTCTTTCGGTTCCTGGGGTCCCCATCCCAGAAGCCGGCCCAAAGCAGCTCATGCTGAACAGTCGTGGTCAGGTCTACTAGCCAGCTCCGCAGAAAGGAAAGCGCTTGATATCGACGGAGTGCTTCGCCGGTCACATCCATGGAAGCTATAGCATCTCTGGGGACACGGAGGGTTTCCACCAATTCGTGAAAATGTCGCTGACGCTGTCGACACACGTCTTGTTTGGAAGGGCCGGCGCGGAGTAGTCGAGCAGCCAGTCGGCTTTCGGCTGCAAGCCCTCGCACGCAAGGGTCAGGTTGTTCATCAAGCGCCCCAGCTGCCGATGACAAGCGGCTGCGCTGGCGCTCTGCCAGTCCGTCCTGATGCGGGCAATCCTGTCTCGAAGCCTCACCTCTTGTGCATAGGCCTCGCCGGGCTCTTCCCCGGTGACCTCAGCTGCATTGGTCTCCGCCAGCAAAGTTCTCAGGAGCTCCTGAAGCTCCTCGGCCGAGCTCGTGGGGTGCTCCTCCCACGACCCGGCCGGATCGCTCTTCGATCGGATCCCGGCTGCAAGGGCGATCACAAGGAAGCCCACCAGTCGCCGCATCGCGCCAGGGGATCCTACATGAAAAATTGTAAATACACCAGAAAACGCTGAGCCGCTGGAGCGCAAGGGAGTCAGCTCTGCGGGACATGCAGCTAGAGCTACCGGCAGAAAACGAAATTTCACCATCCGGAAAGAATGTGGCTCCTGCCGAGGCATGGATGCGTGTATGAAAGAGCCAGGCTCGTAGTGCGGCAAATAAGAAAGAAGAGACTTTCCAAACAAGCAAAAACAGCACTGGTCATCACTGGTCATGACCATGACGATGACGATGCGGCTGACGAGGACGACGCCAGTGATGGTGATGGTGGCGTGCTTGACACCGACAAACACCACTGACAGCGAACAATTGCAGATAACACAGGACGAGGCCACAGCGACATTCAGAATGAAGACATCCATGTGCGAAAGATAACATGAAGAGCCACACCAATACTGCAGACGACGTTCAGTTCACGAACATCAACAGAATGAACAACGTGAGTAAAAAGTAGCACCATGCCAAAATAAAAAAAACACGACAACCTCACGGTGGTTGGTTAAGCAGCATCTAACAGATAATGACGATATCATCGCCAAGGAGGCTAATTCGAATCATCCTGGTGGCCCTCTGACCTAAGGCGCGGTCCCACATGGAACGTCCGTGAGATCCTTGTGGAGGATTTCTTCAAAGCGCGCAATAGCGACCTTTGGGGCTCGGAATGGAAAGGTCTACCTCTCGCGGTCGCATGTCAATGCTTGGACAAGTGAAGATACAGAGCGAAGGTGCTTGTTGAGAGATGCTGCTCCTGTGTTAGTTTATCGCGTTTCTGTGGTCGCCTGTCATTCTTGTATGTTGCTGGATACCGGCAGGACGGCCATCCACGGAGAAGCACGGGCTGCCATCAAGTCCCACATCCACCCTGAACGCTAAACCAAATAGCGCCAAACCCTTGGCCCAAACCAGGAAACCTAAACCCTAAACCCCCGTCTACTCAAAATGCAAACGCAAGCTCTCGCAACCCTCAGGCCCGACCCCACCATGGTGCCTGGGCATGCGCTAGTGATGCGAAGAGCTCTGGGATGGCGGATAGTGGTGCCTCAGATTCGGGCTTCGGAGATTTCGGGCAAAGTTAACGGTTTAGGGCTTAGGGTTTAGGGTTTTGGCACGGAGATTTCGGGCTAAGTTAGGGTGTTGGGGTTGGGGAATTTCGGGCTTGCGGCCCAGCTGCACGCATAGCATTGAATAGCGCCATGCCCGAAAACACCGAGGAGGTCCGCAGGACACCCCCAGAAAGGGCGAAAACCTGAAGATCTCTGGAGCTTTCCGGTACCCTAAACCCTAAACCCTAAACTCTAAACCCTCAACCCTATACTCTAAACCCTCAACCCTAAACCTTAAAAACCCTGCTTGGGCTTTGGAGCTTCAGCTTCGGAGTTCGAGAGTCTAGGGTTTTGCGTGATGGATGCAGGTCTGTCAGAAGCTTACCTTTGGTTACTAGGGAATGGAAGAATGGTAGTAATAGCAGTTATAATTGTACCCATTCCTCCATTCCCTACTAATCAAGGGTAAGGAAGGCATCCTTCGGTTTAGGCTTTTGAGTTGAGGGTGCAATGTAGGGGCCTTAATGATTAGAATAGGGCTTTGGGGCCCATTGTTCTATAAATACATTAAGGAACCCCCCCAAAAAAGTAGTATAGGTAATTATTGAGGCCCGTACAGTAGGCTTCTTCGGTTTAGGGTGCAGGGTTTAGGGTTTAGGGTTTTAGGGCTTAGGCTTGGGGGACCTGGGTCCCCGACTTTAGACGTTCAGTGCCTGCTGGATATACGGTACGACCCAGTACGATGCGCTGGACAAAGATAGATATAGTGTTCAGGGATAGGTACTCCTCATTTTAGCGATATATATATATATATACACACACATACATGTATGCATCTATATATATATATATGTATATGTATGTGTGGGCATATATATATACATACATACATACATACATACATACATACATACATACACACATACATACATACATACATACATACATACATACATACATACATACATACATACATACATGTATGTATGTATATATGGATGTTGTTCACGAATCGTCTGTATGCATGTATGTATGTACGTGTGTGTATATATATATATATATATGTCTTTGGTTACATCTGAAAATATGCGTGTCTGTGCGCTCATGTCTATACCTACGCAATAAATCGTAATAGCCACATATCTTTTCCGCAGACAGCCGCTTAATTTAGCTGGACAAAGAAACAGGCGTTTTGGGTTGTTTTCCTGAGACACGATGCTGATGCATCCGAGTATCTGTAGTCAACGTACAGAGCAAGTCCCACAGGAATGATCCTAAACTTAGATCATGATCCTGGATTTTCTGAAGCTCCCTAACGTTCAGGTTGGTGAAGGCATGAAGGCGAGTAACAAAATCATCCCAGACTCTGCAAGAGCCCTATCCTCGAATTGAGGACCAGAGACTAGAGTGCTGAGAGAGAAACCGTAAATGTGGCCAAGCTCACCATTGTTGGAGCAATTGTGGCTAAGGTTGAGGAGGCAGCCTGAGTGCAGATGGAGGCGACACGGATGCTGCCAAGGCAAAGATCCAAAACCTTTGAGGCTTTTCCCGTGGACTGTGTCAACTCTCGTATCAATGGCTCTCTGATCACAAGGGCAGGTCGAGAGTCCTCGACTTAGGGTGTGTGGAATAAGCTATACCAACCACTCTCTACCGCTGTGACGCAGGCCTAGAGTTGCCACGTTTGCGGCGGGTTTGCCAAGATCCTTCCACCACAACAAAAGCCATCTGACATGACCCTAAACCCTAAACCCTAAACCCTGCAACTTCAGCACCTCGGAAATCCTAGCACAGAACTCGACACCGACAGTGCGTCTGAAACAGCTCTGGAGGAGGGGGCCTTGAGGACAGCCTCCCAACGAAGGGCCTCGGCTTCATCACGGGACTTGCAGCGCAAAGCTGCAATGCAAGCTTCGAGCCCGGAGATTTTCACTTCATCCAGGTTTGGGCTAAACAAGAGCGGCGGCATTTCTGAAAAATCCTGAACACAGTTTCGAGACGGAAGAGCTGCCTCTTCCCAACAAGTTCGTGAACAAAACGATGGTCGTCTCTACGTGCATCACTGAGAAAGCTTACAGAACTTCAGAACTGCTGAGACAGCTTAAGGACCTTCATCAACACAACCAGAGCAACGGTGGCAATGATTTCTTGGTGCTATGGCACCATCATCTTCATCAGAAACAACATGGTTATCAACACCATGCTTATCACTCACCAGCATGATGATGATCACCAACACCACCATTATCATCAGCAGCAACAAACAAACACATAATAATCATCACCGCATAACAATGTTCTTACCTGCTCTTACCAACATTTTAATCACTTGAACAATCGATACCACCCTTACCTTTCCCTGATCATCGTCATCAGGGTCATCAACATCAACATCAAGCTTCGACATCAACCTCAGCAGCATGGCCATCATCATCATCATCACCACCAGAATCATCAGCACAATCATCATCATTTTCTACATCAGTATCGTCATCATCATCGTGTAGCAGTGTCCGTCGCAGAGGTCGTAGTGGCAGTCGTGGTCGTGGCAGGGACGTTGCACTGGCAACAGAAGCAACAACCGTATGCGGAAGAGGAGCAGTGGCAAGAGGAGGGCAAGCAGCAGTAGCTGTAATGGTACTGCCCAGCGTCGTAGTACTTGGCACAGTAGTGGTTGTAGTAGCCTAAGTCGCCCGGCTGTTGTTGCTGGTTTCGTTGTGGCCAGTGTCGTAGCAGTGCTGCAAGAGCACCGCCATGCAGCGTGCGCATTAGAAGCAGTAGCATAGCAGCATCCGCGCTGTCTTCAGATTCGCCAATAACACAAGGGCCATTCAAACGTAATGCAGGCGCCTTAATAATTGGAATGGGGTTTTGGGGGGTATATAAACCTATAACTTACTATAGCTGTATCAAGGAACCCCCAAAATACTATACGTAATTCTTAAGGCCCCTTATGGTAGCGGGAACCGGACCTGGAGCTCCGCATGGCGCTGCAGTTGGATCTCCTCGAAGCAAAGGCCCTGACGGTAGGGCAGCCGTGGATCCGCCGTGCATCTCCGACGAAACGTCGCTCATTTGCGGTCTACCCATAGGCCCCATAGTAGTTCCTTTTTTGAATTCCTTAATAGGATCCTAAATATAAGCCACAAACAGGAACTACTATGGGGCCTACAGGTAGAGAGCCCCCTGCAACCTGAATCCTGGGCCCTTAGCGGTCTGGGATGTGCCTCCCATCTCTGCAGCTTCAAAGCGGGGCGAGCCTGCCAGCGCAGTGGTAACACGACCCCCAGCGTGGCAATAACTTCTTGAAGTGTCGATGATGATGATGATGATGGTGATGACCTGTACATATATGTATATATATATATATATGTTTATTTACTTATCAATGTATGTATCTGTAAGTGAATAAAATTAGTATCTATATACATATATATGTATATACATACATATATATATATATATATACATACATACGTATATATATATACATACATACCGGTATATATATATATATACATATTTATTTCGTTATTTTTTATTTGCTTATATTACATTTATATTATACTTGTATTATATTATATTATATTATATTATATTATATTATATTATATTATATTATATTATATTATATCATATTATGTTCTATTCTATTCTTTTGTTATACTACATATAGATATGTTATTTCTTTACTTATTTAACGAAGTAAGTTTCTATTATACATTGATTAATTAGTTAGAGTATTTCCTTGCAACTTGAGTGTCACGAATACTGCCACCGACTACTGTTATCACCTTCCCTTACCACGACCAGTGCTAGTGACCGCCTGGCTGTCAGAACCACTCAAGTCCTCTTCATGACAAAACTGAAGACCAGGAAAGCCACTGCCAGAAGTTACTAACCGTGCGTGTCTTGTTTCCGATCGAGTGGGCCTGCAGCGCTGCAGAGCTACCCCGAAGCCGCGAGTCCGCTGCCTTCCATGTGGAACAGGGATCCCCAAGGGTCCAAGTACCCAATAATCATAGACTCTCCCAAATAGTAACCTACGTAACCACTACCCGAAACCTAAGTACTTAATTATTGGGTCCTTTGGACCCCTAGGGGATGGATTTGGTGGCTAAAGCGCAGCTGGTTGCGTTCACTGGTCACAACCGGAGAACCATCCCCAACCCAGAGACTCCAAAACCCCTTAATTAAGGAATATACCTGAAAACATATTAGGGATCCTATTATATTTTAAGGTATATTCCTTAATTAACGGGTTTTGGAGTCTCTGGGAAGCTCTACATTCGGGGCCTGAGCGATTCGGGCACGCTGTCGTGCGACCAACCTGAGGCTGCCCATAGGCCCCACAGTAGCTCCTTTTTGTGGCTTATATCATTATATCTAAGATCCTATTGAGGGATCCCGAAAAAGAACTACTATGCTTATATCATCATTATATCTAAGATCCTATTAAGGAATCCCAAAAAGGAACTACTATGGGGCCTATGGGTGAATCTACACAAAGCTGCACCTTCAGCCCACTCCCAGACTCCGACTCGCTGTGCAAAAACCGATGGAGAGTCCGAACTTCCGGCCATAGCAGCCGGACACCCTTGCTTTAGACTTGCAATGACACTGCAGTACCGAAAAACCTCTTCTGCTGATTCGGGATTAAGTGGTTAGTTTGAGATGCTAAGAGGCCCGCTTGGAAATCCCCATCTGCGCAACGAGCAGGACCAGCATACCTCGTCTGAACTGTGCACATGAAACCATGCAATTCTACTACCACTGGTTCTGTTGCGGCACTGCTGCGATTGCACTATCCAGCATGTCCTACTGACGTGCCGTCGAGACGCAGCAGAGCCCAGCGAGCACTGGAACGCCGAGTTGACGCCAAAGCATCCACAAAGCCTCATCTGGGGATATGATGAATGGGGCTATAACTGGGTTTCCCCTAGGATACCGACTAGCATAGCAGAATATATCATCCTAACGCCCCTGTTCCAGAGACTGCCGCAAAACTGTATCATCTCATCTGCAGTAATGCTGTGAAAGAAATGGGGCTCTGGCGATGAGGAGCTGAAGCGGTGCAGACCACAGCCTGCGGAGGCATCTGAGGAAGACATATACTCTACATCGTTGAAAACTTCTTGATTCAAACCCTCTGCATGCTTCGATAGTTAATTCCCTGAGCTTCTGACCCTAACAACTTATGGTGTTGAGGACTGCATGCGCCTTTCGGGTGCTCTGTCAGGCATCTGGGATTCCCACATGTTCAGGCAGCCGCAGGCCGTGCTGATGCGCGCACAGTCCGACCTCACTCACAGCGTGCAGACAAAACATGCAGCATTTGTACCACACACATACACATAAGTGTGTGTGTGTATATTATATATATATGTATGTAGCTAATTAGATAAGTAGATAGTTAGATACGGTTCAGAGACTCAGTTGACCCAGCCTTTAATAGATAAATGCATCTGGCCCAACTTCTTCTCTTGACACAAGACTACCACTACCAGAAAATTCCAACAGAAGGCTCCCCACATCAACAGAGGAGCAAAAACATCCGCATGCACCGTGCACTTCTTCCTTGCTTTGCAGGATAAAGGTTCCCAGAAAACCAGTTGTTTGGAAGGATGCTGATGCTGTGTAAGGATGTGCACATGTGTGCTCACTCCCCTCTTTGTTCGGCAGATTGCCTTGCTCCCTTGCAAAGTTTTACATTTGGAGGGATGCGTTGCACATGTTCTGTATGTTTGGAGGAACATGTTGGTGCCCACACAAAGGCGAAGCAGCATCACAAGAATGAGCTTGGGTAGCTGGGCACATCGGCCAACGGCTGGCAAGGTTGGCAATGTGTTCAACGATGGCTTTCATGTATCTATCTTGCTGTCGTCTGTGTCTCGCTCGCGTCCGCCAGTGTTCACTTGCTCGGAGAGCAGAGAGAAAGAGAGAGAGCGAGAGAGAGAGAGAGAGAGACAGAGAAAGAGACAGAGAGAGAGGGGGAGAGAGAGACAGAGAGAGAGAGAGGGGGGGACAGAAGCGTGTACGCCGTGTAAGCGCAGAACTACAGACAAACCCACGAGATAGTTTCGAAGCTGAGAGTAAGTCTCCAACGACAGCACGTTGCACAGCTGGCCACTGTCCACGGGACAGTTCAGCTCCAGATCTAACCTCGGAGGTGATGATACTTGCAGCTACACGAATGATACCAAACAAACATTCCGCCAATAAACATGATGCTTGCAGTAGTGATCGAATGTTGATGGGAGGCTATTCCAGCGCACTCGCCCCGCTCCGTGATGCATCGGGTGACATTCAGAAGATGCCGTTCGAACCCGCAGCGAGAGCTTGAAGCTGGTGGTAAGCAGGAAGGAGCTTTCTCTCCGACACCAGTCTACGATGGGCCGCTTCAAGAAGAGGTCGACCCCGGCTTGGCCAAGTGCAGGAGCTGCGGGGCCGCTCGTCGGACCATTGTAGGCTCCTCAGAACCCTTTTGCACCGCTGGCCGGTAGGATGCCCTCACAGCGGAAGCAAACATTGGTCCCGCCCCGCAGTGCACCGTGGACGGAAAGGGAAGGAAGCTCTTTGGCACGCACAGGCTGCTCAGGCATCGAAATCGGCGGGCACTAAACCGCCATGAGGTCGAAGGCATAAGAGCAAAAAAAAGTTGCGATGCCAGCAACGACTGCCCATTGCCTGTGGTCAGGGAGGTGGCATGGAGTTGGCTTGAGGCGGGTCTGACGTCTGATCCAATGACGTTCTGCGAATGTGGGTGTGAGAGACAGAGAGCGAGAGAGAGAAAGAGGAAGAGAAAGATAAAGAACAAAAGGTAAAGAGAAAGAGAAGCAGAGAGATAAAGAAAATGAGAAAAAGAAACAGAAAGAGAGCGGGGGAGAGAGAGAGAGAGCGAGAGGTTTGAGTGCAAGTTTCGGGGCGCTTGGTGACCGAGATGTAGGCCGAGGCCCGAACATGATCCCCATGCAATTCTCCACGACGTCCAGCTCTGCAAAGAGCCCCAATCGTTTCCCGCCCTGCAGGAGAAGGGGGACCATGAACATGGCCAAGAGGGGTGAACTGCCGGAGGCCAAGGCCTCAAAATGATCCTTCCGAAGGGAAAGCCCAAAGCCTCGCCAGCCCCGGCGAAGAAATGGGGAGCCTTCCGGCAAAGACTTAAACCATCCGTTCGACCTGTCTGCATGGGAGAAGGTGCCGAACATGGTCACCATCGCGCCACAAAGGTGTAGGACAGTTTCCATGCCAAAGTCCAATTGGAGCGTGCAGACCCCTTGGAGTGCGATGCCGAAGGAAGCCAGCAGTCCCCACAAGAGCCCCGAGTCCTGGACCGAAATGTCGGAATGATGTTTAGACATTAAGTCGTGCATTTGCAGCAGCGTCACAGCCAGCAGGAAGCCACAGAGCCCGAAAGCCACGCGGTAGAGAAGCCTCGCGCTGCCCGAGATGCCCATTTCAGAAATGGCCGGCACATAGACTCCGCTTGAGAGCAGCGGAGCATGTAGGTAGTAGCAGCCCAGTACAGCTACCAGGAACCAAAGCAGTGAGGCCACTGGGACAAGCGCCCGAAGTCGTGATCGAGGCCCTGTGCGCGCTGCCACAGCTACAAGAAGCACAGACAAGGCCACCGCGACGAAGAGGCCTTGGCGCAGGCTTTCCGGCAGCTCCCGGCCTTTCTGCAGGTTCGCAGTTCGCACGGCCACTGGCTCAGAGGTGACGCCATAAGGGCGCACAACCCATCGGCCCTCCGAATGCTTCGAGAGAATCAGAGCCAACGCACCGTTGAGGGAGAGCTTGTTCTGCAGCCCATGGAGGCGCACGACTCGGAGGAATCTGTTCCGAGCCCCGGCTGCGCCAGTTCGACTGTGCAGGACCCTACTTAAAGGATCATGGGGCTATAAGTCCCTTAATTGGGGTTATAAGTATAGTTACCTTAGTTATAACCATACTTACTAAGTCCCATGATCCTTTAAGCACTTCTTCGACCTCAAGTCACTTCCTCTATGAGACTTGCAGAGGCAGAGTCTCCCGGCTCAGAGCGTCAAACGTATATCAACGAACGGCACAGTACTTGTACTTGGCTCGTTTCTCTTGTCGGGAGAGAGAGAGAGGGAGAGAGGGAGAGAGAGAGAGAGAGGGAGAGCGGACTTACAAGCCCCAGCAAAGTTTAGCAAAGGCTGCAGCAGGCTCATGAGAGCCAGAGCAAGAGTGGTTGCTTGCTTAGCCGAATTTCGAAGCCTGCGCTCTTAGTCCCCACCAGATGACCTGGTGGAGAAGCAAGAGTTGAGGAAAAGACTTAGAACCGTAAGTTACCCTGATAAGCGCCAGAAGCCAGAAGAAGCTCGTAAATCACTGTATACCTCACAGGAGCAATCCTATTCGCCCTATTTTCCTATTCCCACCCCTCTGAACCCGTGGCTCAGGTGCAACTCACTCCGAGTTCCGATCATGCGCCGGAAGACGGCTGCCGAGAGGCCCGCACGCACCAAAGCCCCTGGAGAGTGCTCTGCTTGGAGCTTCAACATCGGGGCTTGTGGGTTTACGGTTTCGGGGGGGGGGGGGGGGGGTTGTAAATTCGCAACCAGGGTTTTATTAAAGGGTTCCCTTTCAGGGTATTATACGGTTGCCTTTCAGGGTATTATACGGTTCCCTTTCAGGGCACTATAGGGCTAAGGGGGCTATAGGGTCAAAATCGCACATATAGCAGTTCAGCGCAGTGGGCATTTAGTAACCAGGGAGGTTGGGGACCGAGTTCATGCAAGAGTGAAGGCAAAGACTGAAGGCATGACTAGGGCTTTAGGGTTTAGGGTTATGAAAAGGCAACTATACGTGTTTAATTATGTAATTAATCACTTACCCCCCCCCGATGCGGCTACGTACTTATGACCTTACTTGCAATGTCCTCTGATCCTCCAGATACTAGCAGTGGGAAGTGAGTGCATGAACCTTCCATCGAAGAGTTGGAAGCCGCAGGAGATACGTTCGGAGATGTCCGGTACTCTACGATAAGATTCGACTTAGCCTTCCGACGCTCACTTGACATACGATTTGAAGCCCGATTGTCGCTCACTATCGCCTTCTGAGTCTTCTGAGATGTCGAACCTACAGTTTTGAAGCTCGGGATCGCGGGCTTCGCAAGGGTGTCCGGCAGTCTTGCAAGTCTATATAAGCCCATGGCAGAGGCGAGGACTGGCGGCATGGCCCAGAGATGTTTCTCGTTCTATATATCTCAAGTCCATTGTACAGACTGCGCAGCAGCCGTGAAGCCATCAAGCCCGTGTCACAAGTCTCAGTATGTTAGAGCAACACTGTACATGACGACCATCATGAGCAATTTACCCATAGGACCTAAGGTAGTTCCTTTTGGGGGCTCATATTTAGAATCCTATTAGGGAGTCCCAAAAAGGAACTACTATGGGGCCTATGGGTAGTGAACACACTGGTGGGTCGATTTTCAAGGCTGAGCCAAGCTCGAGTTAGGGTTCAGGGTTTATAAACCGAAAGCTCTATAAACCCTACAAGCCCGTATAAACCCTAAACCGTTTGCGTGTCTTGAAGAGCCCCAGGGGACATGCGCCAAGGCAGCTCGGCCTAGGCGCAAGGAATGCCAGAAGTACTGATTGACGAGAACGGCCTGGATAAGGGGAAAGATCCTGCTGCACTGGATAATGAAGGAGTACTGAAACAAGATACTGGCAAAAGCAAGTGCCACAATGATCATGACAATGCAGATAGCAGTGGCCACACTTGCGATCATAGAGATAGTGAGAAAGGAACAGGAAACCAAGTCAGAGCTGGCCTCATCAACATTAGCACCAAGATTGTCATTCTGATTCCTGATAATCACACAACAACAATGCTGATCATCATCGCGAACATATCCAGTCATAACAGCGCTCAACGTTGAACAACTTCATTCAGTATGCTGCAGGGGACGCGAATTCTGGAGGTCCACTGCCTCTTCGGGGCCGCAGCCCAAAGCCTCTGATCCAAGAGCGAGTTAGTAATAGATTCGGAGACACTGCTTCAAAGCTTCGGCCCCTCACAGCCCAAACCAAGGCGGAGAAAGTCTCGGGCTCGCTCCCCTGCTTAGAAGGATCCCGATCCTTAGCGCAACACCCTCCGTGCCAGAGAACCACAAAGCCTAAGCCCTAAAGCTCGAAACCCCATAGGACCTGGAAGCCGTTTAGGGTTTAGACTCTGAAGGCCCTGAAAACTCATGAGGAAGGGGTCCAGATGCCTGCACGAAGGTGGACAGCGGCAGGACAAGCGCCAAGCAGATCAACTGCATCCTCTCCGAAGCAGACCAGTGGGCCTGCGATTCCAAGAGCCGATCAGCTTTGGGGCTTGTAGGGTTTAGGGTTTCAGGGCTTGGGGTTTAGGGTTTAGGGTTGGGTGCAATGAGGATGCCATGAGACTACGGAAAATGGAGGGACACTCGAAACCAGAGGTGAACACTGACTTGCGGTTGTGAGTCGGCGTCGGGTTTTTGCATCTCTCTCCTCTTGGAGGAAGGACAGGACTACTACGCAGGGGCCGATGCGAGGGGGTAATACAAGGGTCGTAACAATTAGAATAGAACTGAATAGGTTTATGATTTAAGCTTCTATAGTAGCAGGAACCTGCTCTATCACCATCATCATGTTACGTACCATCGATCGTGAGACAAATATTTTTCGAATACAACACCCATGGCCATGGACCGTGAAGCCTTAATGGCTAAGCTAATCATTGTCGTCTTTGCGCATAACTTGGATATCTGAAACCACGATGCGGGCTTTGGATGTACCTGGACCCTCCAACTACTATAGTGGCCTTAATATTTAGAATAGGGTTTTGGGGTATATTATACTATATTTATAAAAAGGAACCCCCAAAATGATATAGGTAATTATTAAGGCCCCTATATTGCCCTATATTGTAGCCACTATTGGTTAAGGCCCATAAGGCCTCCAGAAGCAGGTACTGGAGGAGTCCACGTCGGGGTGCTACCTTTGGCCTTGAGGGTTTAGGGTTTAGGGAAGTTTAAGAAGTTAGGACTTAAGGTTACCTTTGGCCTTGAGGGTGTAGTTTTCTGTGCTTTTTTGCCAGTTAAGGACTTGTTCTTGAGACGGGTGTATCAGCTGGCAAATGTTACTGCTCTCATTCCTCAGCCCAAAAAGCAAAATCTCAAGGCAACGTCAGTTTTCCCAACCAGCCGCGAATGCGGACTCATCCACCGACAAAGGCTGCAAGCTGCGGGCCTGCTAGTAGAATTGGAGCTTTGGATAGAGTTTGCTGTTACCCACCATGAGGGGGTCGGCTTAGCTTGAAGGGGCCCGCACAGCCTCTGTAAAAAATGCGTGCTGCGGCAGTTCCTCAAGGTGCGAGCTTGAAGTCGGCTTGGGAGCTAATCTTTTCAGACGTTGACTAAAACGGTCCCAAACTTAAACCTAAGACGCACACCTCGAAACCGTCATTAAACCCGGAAACCTATAAACCCTAAAGAGGCCCTAACCTAAACCCCAAATGCACCAGAGAAGCTTCACCTTGTGCCGCCTCTTTGCCTGCCTGCTGAGGGATCTCTCCCACAGGCACCGGTATGTCCGGTATGTCTCCAGCTCACGAGCTCCCTCCAGAGTTTTGACCAACAAAGAGGGGGTTCAGGGTTTAGGGAAGTTTAGGGTTTAGGGTTCAGGGTTTAGGGTTTAGGAAAGTTTAGGGTTTATAGGGGTTCGGGGCTTTAGGCTTCAGATGCAAGCTCTCCGTGCCAGCAGAACCTGCAATCTTTTTCTATAGGAGCCTTTAGGACACCACTCAAGTCACCCAGAAACACTTCCCGGATCCTCCTAAACCCGACACACCTTGCCCCAAGCCTTGATAAAGACCCTGATAGCCACCCTGATCCCTAAACCCTAAACCCTACACCCTAAACCCCAAACCCCCATGATCCCATCATCATCTCTGGGACCCCTACACCTTAGATCCTACTACACTTAACAGTAATCCCATGATAGTTGATGCACTTCTTAATGATACAGCACTCCCGTTATCATCTCTATAAGCCCTACCTGCCCTTATTGTATAGTCATCCCAGTATCATCTTTATAGGCCCTTATCGCCCCTATATACTATACAATTACCCTAAACTCTAAAACCCTAAACCCTAACCCTAAACCCCAAAATCCCCAAAATCCTAAACCCTTAAAAGCCTATGGAACCAAGAACTTTGGAGACCCGTGGCCTTTGCCAGCACTTCGATGGGCCTTTCATGGCCTCCCTTCATCTGCGCCGCACCATTTCTGGGCTGCGAGCCCTCTCAACTGCTAGAGGGGGGATTTTGCAGGTTCGTGCTCTATTCTGCACTAAAGCCTAAACCCTAAACCCCAAACCCCATAAACCCTAAACCCTAAAAGCAGTTTAGGGGGCTACAGCCACTTTGCATATTGGGCCAGGGAGGAGCGTCGGGCCCCGCAGGGGTTGAGGGTCTAGGGTCTAGGGTTCCGACTCCATTCTAGACGCGCCCTTACAGACCCGAAACACAAGTTCGGTTTAGGGTTTAGGGTTTAGGGTTTAGGGTTGGGAAAAGATCGGCCAGACTGCCAGACTTGTTGAAGGTAAAGCCAGGAATACCGGCCGTCCACAGATGTACAACAGCCACACTTTGCAACCAGTTCGAATGTGAGGGTAAGCCCAGGGCAAATTCGGGGAGATGCCTCTGAGCGAGGCCGGGTATCAAGAGTTGCAGAAAGTGCTATTATTGCCTAATGTAGGGGCCTTAATAATCAGAATAGGGTTTTGGGGCCCATTATACTATAATTATAACAAGGAACGCCCAAAAGAACATAGGTAATTAATTTTGGCCCCTATATTAAAAGTCAAGCCGCAATGGCATCAACGCCGATGTAAACCCGATAGTTACAAGCTATAAAGAGCCGGATGTTAGGTCTTTCGAAGCACTTTCGGTTAGGTAGCGCAGCCCGTGCAGCGAATTATATTCTTGGGCAGCAAATTTGGCAAAACGAAGCATTCCTGGAAGTCAGCTTTGGGCACAACCGCCTCCCTGCACTTCATACTAAACCCCTATATACTAAACCCTAAAACCCCTAAACCCTATATACTAAACCCTAAAACCCCTAAACCCTATATACTAAACTAAACCCCTAAACCATCATGCAGCCGTGACTTCAGGGAGCTCCTTCCGTAGAATTGATGGAGCCACCGTGCAAGACAGAAATCCAGGAAGTAGCCATAATATAGGGTTTAGGGTTTAGGGTTTAGGGGCCTTCTTAAAGTTACCTATAGCCTATGTTATTTTGGAGGTTCCTTACTATAGTGATAGTATAATCTATACCCCAAAACCCTATTCTAAGTATTCAGGCCCCTCCATTACACGAAGTCCCGAGGCAACAAACTCCAGATGTCGCGACTCCAGGAGTATCTATGCAATCCGTATTCCAACAGCTGCTCAGCACGGCTATTGCTAGTAAGCAGGCGGTGTTGATGATGGTCCTGCTGATGATAGCCGTGATGATGACGATGATGGCATTAGGGGCGGCCAAGGATGCCGGCGACAACGCAGATCACTGATATCGACAGCCGAGATACCAGCGCATACCATCTGTGATGTTTGCAGTGCAATATCTTGCACTATTCACTCTAATCTTGCGATTCAAACCCGTGTCGGCCGAGACGTGAGTGGCTGCTTCTTTTTGGTTTGTGCTACCGCAGTTACCATAGGACAAATAACATCATCATGAGCTAGATTGAAGTTCAATTTGTAGGGCCTCCCATTCGGGAGCCCTTTCGATTCCTGGCTTGCATCAGAGTGTACAGTGCATCCTGCGTCTTTGTCGACGCAAGGATATTAAAAAGAATCATTCCGTCTTGCTGAGCTCTTATTTTCCTCAGTATACAGGAGATCCTCGTAGCATGTCCGTCCGGAACACACGAACAGCACCTTGCAAGTAGAATTGAGGCAACAACCAACCATGCAAAAAATAGACGTTCGTTGAAGTGTCACACTCGGGTGGGATGGCAAGGGCTCTGCAACACGGCTGATTGAAACTATCCTCTTTCACACCTGTTTAGGTTGAAGAGGAAGCTTCTGCGGTTCAAGCGGCCACGGTGAAAATCTTGTCAATCCTTGCAGCTGTGTGGTTCGCGGCAGCTTGAAGCTTAAGGCTCGTACATCCGTAACTCGAAACCCGTCATGCGCTATTGAAGTGCAGCCTATCCCCTGTGCCTACCTGGCCCTCTCGAAAGTCACGAATCGAATGTCTGAGGGGCAAAGACACACAGAACAGCGATGCCAACATAGCCATTACTCATTCTCACTTTAGAATTCCACGTTCACGGTCATTCTGATGTGATGATGAAGAGGATGCACAAAGTCGAGAAACAGCTGATTGTAGCAGATTGTAGCACTGCTGTGGTATTTGTTGCTGGTGGCGATGATGATGGTGATGATGACGATGATGATGACGATGATGATGCTGACGCTGATGCTGATGCTGCTGCTGATGATGATGATGATGATGATGCTGATGACGCTGATGATGGTGATGATAGTGATGGTGATGATGGTGATGATGTTGATTATGATGATGGTGGTGGTGGTGATGTAAAGATGATGATGCTGATGATGATGATAATGATGATGATGGTAATGATAATAACAATGATAATGATAATGATGATGATGATGATGTTGATGATGTTGATGATGATGATGATGATGATGGTGGTGGTGCCGACGCCCACGCTGACGACCACGACGATGACCGTGGTGACTAGACTGAAGACGACCCTGATGTTGCCGATGAAGCTTTGCTGATGGTGATGACCAAAATGACATTGCTTGAGATTGCAAGGAAGGGTCTCACTCAAATACGCGTCCGGCACCATTGCTAGTCCCGCCTCCTACACTTGGCAGTTCCCGTGTCAAAGCTGGTGCTTCTGACGTGCGTCTCAACGAGCATTGGGCGGTTGGTGCATGCGTGCTGATGCGGTATTCACAATGCTTCGGTGTGTATTTTCGGGCTGCTGGGCAATTTGTCTTGCTTGTATCAGAAGAGCAACTGTGGTTGCACCAATCTACCCACGTAACCCTGCGCAGCGAACTGCCCCGAAACCCTTACATGAGTTCCGAACTCCTACATCCTCAAACCCGACAACACCACAAGCTAGATGCCCAAACGTGACTGTCACTGAGGCCGAGTCCTTCAATCAAGTTTGCCCTCTTCCCAAGGCGTGTCACCTTGGGCAAGGTGTGTAAAAAGCAACCGAAACACAGCGAGACTCGGGGCGATACACTCTACATCTTAAAATCCTAAACCATAAACCCTAAACCCTAAACCCCTGAACCCTAAACCCCAAAAACTCAAACCCTAAACTTTTAAAGCTTCAAGAAGGCTTTGGAGCCAGAGTTTGGGCTCCAGGAATTAGGCTTGGGATGGGCAGGAGGAGGTCAGGGCCAAGACTGTGATACAACCATACTGGAGGGGGTTTAGGGTTTAGGGTTTAGGGTCTAGCTTTATAATTACCTATACTGGGTTTAGGGTTTAGGGTTTAGGGTCTAGGGTTTATTGCCTAGTTTGGGGGTTCCTTGTTATATTTATAGTAGAGTATGCCCCAATATTCTCATTCTGAAGGCCCCTACATTACAAGGATCAGATGGCTAATAACTCAGAACCTGAAGCCCTCAACGGTGTGGGGTTTGGGGTTTTAGGATTTGGGGTGTAATTGGGTTAAAAAGCCCCGAAAAGCCAGAACCCTGACTAAACTGTATGAATATACCAAGAACCAAACCTCTAAACCTTAAAACTCGCCCCCTGGTGCCCGGCTCATGAAAGCGGGCCAAAGCCTGCGTAGAAGAAATTGTCCCTTCATAGCAATCACAGTACTACAGTAGTACCACCAACGGCAACCTGAGTAATAAACCAGAAAGTAAATATATGAATATACATAAATATATATATATATATATATACATATATACATCATATATATATATATATATTGCATATATACATATATATATATATAGGGGATTATCGAGTTTAGGGCTTAGGGTATTAGGCCCCATAATGTAATAGTCACTTAATGGTCATGAGAATAAGATGCTGGGACAACTTCGCGCTTGGGGTCCATATTGAAGTCCCTCTTTTCTGAACACTGGTATAATATGGAGTCGTGGCTGTCCTTTGTTCAGACACGCTTCACTGCGATTCCTTTGATGGCAACCCGTGCAACCAGAGCACGTGATGCTCACCAGCGTAGACTCCCAATTTTGCTGACTTTTGGGGTCCTGGGCTTATAGGGTTTAAGGCTCGGGGTCAAGGCTTCGGAGTTAAAGGTTTGGGGCTTTGGGTTACTTAAAGGATCATGGGACTTAGTAAGTAAGTATAGCCACCTTGGTTATAACCCTACTTACTAAGTCCCATGATCCTTTAAGTAGGGGCTGAGGTTTCCAAATTGTGTTCCAAATCGCAGCAACGGAATGATGAGATCCGGGAGAATCACATCTATCAGAATCCAGCAAGCACAGCCTCAGCCTCTCGATGCTTTTGTCTTGAACCCGTGAGCTAGCAAAGAACAGACCCCTATACAGCCGGAATAGAACCGAACTCCTGCACACACACCCTCAACCCTAAACCCTAAACACAGAGGAAATCCGCTGGTCCAAAGCCTACTACCCGGGTCCTTGGTCAGCGCCTCTGCGGCCTTCATCAGTTGGGGAATGCGCTCACCTCAGCATGTGCGAAGGGGGGATGTATTCTACAAAGCAGGAGACAGTTCAGGGGATTCCTCAGGAGTTGCTGAACAATTCATACTTTTCTGAAAGTGCAATCTTCATGTAGGCTTCTGCATAGTGGCGCTTGGGGACACTGTGGGAGTTGTGGGTCGTATGGCCAGGTTTTGGGATCTCCGGTGGGAGCTTCCGCTCTGGGTCTTAAATCTGCGGAGCCATTGGGTGCAGTCAGTCTAAACGTGGGTCAAGGGTTGAGGTTTCAAGGTTTCTACTCTTACGTCTATACCCAATCTATGTAGACAGGGATTTAGGGGATGGGTTTTGGGCTTTCTACTCTTACATCTACAATATACCCTGAACCCTTGGCCCTAAACACGGAACGAGGAGCTAATCTACGGACCGGAAGCAGCTAGTACCTGGCTGGACCCAGAGAGGTCGGCTGTAACGACAAGACTCTACCCCAACTAAAGATCCACGAGTTGCGATATGAACTTTTCGTACTTGGACTTAACATCAGAATCCCGTTCGAATTAGATTACACTCGAATCGTCAATGGACGTAGCAATCGGCCCCAAACACAGCTTAACCGAGATGTCTCATGTATCACATGCATTACACCACTGCACTGCGGCTGGACTTCACATTTGGAGTACCTGGATGCGATGCGACTCAATATCTGTTCAGGAAGGACGTCGTGACGCCTAAATGTTGCTCGCATCAGCCAACCCATGTCCACCGGGATGTAGATCAAACCGCAAGCCCCTAAATCCGAAACAAACACACCTTCTACAATGCACCTAAACCCTGGCGTGTCATTTGCAGGAATAGACTTCACCGGATGCAAATGTGGGCCCTGACATTATGCATGCCCTTTGCAAGCCTGAGGTACCCATCGTGAGAGTGAGCCTATCGTGAGAGTGATACTTGAACATGGCGCGGAGTAGCAATGCTAGCGGGAAGTAGTGGTCAATGTTTGCATTGCCGTCTTCTCAGCGGTGAAGGCAGCCAACTAGTAGTGCCATAGCAGAAACTAACAAGAACGGAATTGACGCTGGCAGTGAAGACCCGCGGCTACGGGAAACTCCCGAAACAGAATCCGTGACCAGCGACTTCGCTGCGTGACAGCTAAAACCTTAAGTCATAAATACCTAAGTACCAGATTATGATGATAGTGATGATAACAACAAGAAGAAGAATTGCAATCAATGCTTGAAACCCTGCCTTTAGCTGCCTATGAGCCTGCACGTAGCCTAGACGGCTTAGACTGCCGGCTGAGTGGCTGCAGCTGGCCAGAGCTTTGTATGCCTGGCTGGCGGCAGACACCAGGGGGGCAACCAAAGAACAACAGCAGCAACAACAACAACAACAGCAACGGCAACAGCAGCAGCAACAACAAGAACAACAACAACCACCACAACCGCAACGACGACGACAACGACCGTGACGACAACAACAACGACAAGAAGACCAGCAGCAGCATCAGCAGCAGCAGCAGCAGCAGGCAACAGCAGAACATGAATGATTCGGCTCCCATTGATTGTGAGATGAGTCCAACACTATTCAATAGCTTTCGTGGGTTCTCTACCGACATGTTGCGGGTGAATTTCCTAAGGAACTTTCGGAGCGTCCCAAATGTCGTCGGCAATTTAAGAGTACTACAGGGCCTGGGAGATGTTATTGCCACTTCGGCTGGGATTGTGCGCATTTGGAAGGCACCCATGGATCTGCACGTCTTTTGCAGGGAATTCGGCGATCACTCATTCGAGAAGACATGATTGCTGGAGTTCTCCCCGATAGTGCTCTTGATTAGGGTTTAGGGCCAGCTTCGGGTTTAGGGTTTCGTCGTCTGATGCAAACGCCCCCAGACTTGAACATCTCCCAACAAGCCCGCAATGCCCTGCATGTCAAGCAGCATCAGGATTGGCTACATGTTCACAAGCCTTCAAGCACTAGATACAAAAGCTTCTGCTACAATCCATAAGGCCTTCTACTCGCGCTGAATCTCGCGGGGCCCCTGAATCTCAAGACCGCCAGGGGCTGCCTATAAACCCCCTGTCCGAGCCTTGTTGGCATCGGCCATCTGAGTCTGAAGCGATCCCGTCCACTGTTTTATGCACTGGTTGAACTCGTGGATGCTCTTTGTAAGCATCGCTTGGACATCTTCTGCCTCACCACGACCGACGGTTGAAGAACTGAGTTTGTGGACAGGAGCCGAGGAGCCCTAGAGAAAGTTCTTCTCTTGAGGTGCAATGATCATGCTGTGATCATGTTGCGATGAGCGAAGGAGTAGCAAGCTTAAGTTGCTTGTGCTCAGTTGCCTCAAACAGAGCATCTTCTCTACCCTGGAGCCCGCAGAAAGCTTCAGCCGGTTGATTCGATATCTCAAAACCCTGAACCCCAAAAGGACCCCTTATGTTTACTTCTTATTCCGCTTACTATTATCATTATTAGTAATACCTATCATATCATGATTATGAATATTGTTATTAGTATGACTACTGTTAGTATTATCATTATTGTTACTCATAACAATTTTCGTAGAAACTTGCCTTGAGCGGACCCTGCGCTGCGGTCTCTGCAGCGGAAACTGCCACGGCCGTGACGGTGGCGGTAGAGGCGGGGACGCTCACCTCCTTTTCCTGACAAACTCATGTTGTGTTCAGGACCCTCTTCCGCAGTTTTTGTTTTGAACGGTTGAGGGCTTTTGGCCAACAATTTTCGCCACAGGTCACTAAACATAGTCACTGCACGACTACTACACGACCACTACTCTGCACTAGACCAGGCCAGGCCAGACTAGACTCGGCGATTACTGTAGTAAGTCAGATAGTCGGGCGAGAAGGAGAATCGGAAGACCTGCTGTGACAACATTGAGCGACATGTAGCTATGCTCGCAAAAGTACGCAAGGGGCATGTGCCAGACAGAAGTGTTCCTGTCCTCCCATATGCAGGGAGGCATGAAGAGGGCGATGGAGGAGGAGGGATAGCTAGAGCATGAGAATGCACATGCTTATCAGGACAGTTCAAGGGATTCGAGAACTTCTCAGTGAAACTACCCGCAATGCCTCATGATCCGAAATTGCTGATTACCTATGCCAGAGCTGTGTTTTGAAGCACGTGGTACCATTGGGACCAAATCCCTAAACCCAGAAACCTAGAACACTAAACTAAACGTAAACCCCAACAACCTGCTCATGTCGGCCTCTCAATGCTAGTCAGACAACCCTTTAAGTTAAAACTCCAACACGCCCCACCCCCTAAACCCTCCTCAAACCCTAAAGCCCTAAACCCTAAACTTGTAACCCGCCACAACAAAAATGAGGCGCGTCGGCCCTTGGGACGACTGATGTAGTGGCTTCGCCTTAGCGCGCAGGTCCGGGTGTAGGGTTTAGGCTTTGCGGTTTGGGGTATGAGATTGCTATAGGTTTTTAGCTGAAGCTTTAACGTTCAGGGCTTACCCTAGCCCGATAAAACCTAATTGCTTAGGGCTCCTGATTATGATTGGCAAGATTGGTATGTACAAGTCCTTAGAGAGGTAGGTTATTCGGGCTTGTGGTAAATTTTAGGGTCGAGATTTAAATGAAAAGAAGGGCTGGCAGCAAATAAGTATATACACATACACAAAGAGAGAGAGAGAGAGAGTGTTCTAACTATGTGTATATAAAAAACTACTAGCATGATGCATCTATGTCTTTCTTTTGTACATTAGTTTTCATACTTGAGAAGTGATATAAAGTGGAACTCTTGAGCCTTGCCGGCCCGAGGCTTGGGCGGGAAGACTCTTGTGTGACAGAGGTTATTGGTGTGTCTGTGTGCTTCTATGTGTCTGATGTATACATACATACAAACAAGCAAACAAAAAAACATACATACACACACACATACATACATACATACATACATACATACATACATACATACATACATACATACATACATACATACGATACCAGTATGTATACACACATCTGTAAGTACCTCTATATATATATACACATGTATATCACAT